TCTGAGTACCAACTTGACCCCATTGCTCTATCCTGGCTGTGGAATTCTGGGAGTTGAAGTCCACACATCTTAAAGTTGCTAAAGCTGAGAAACGTTGGTATAGCTCTGGGAAGGCAGTGAAAAACTGGAGCGCATGAAATGCCAGTGAGTATCATGGGGCACGCAGATTAGTTGTAAGGTCATCCTAGAAGATCCGTCAAGCATATATATCAACCTTTTGATTAGAGTGAGGTGAAGGAAAGTCGATCGCATGTGGCCTAGCCACATAAATAAATCATATTTGAAACATATGCATACACATGCATTGCATCACACAAACAAATCTATTCTGTAGTACTGAATGTATGATAGCTCAAAGGACTGATCCTGGCCAAATTGTGCACATGCTGTACTTATAAATGAACATCATCAGAGGGACTGCAACAGGAGCCAAAGCGGCCTCCGAGAACAAAGACTTGTCTTTTTTTATTAGCATTTGTTCTGTTTACTTTTTGATGATTTTAAATGCCACAGTGGCTAAAACTGCAGACAGGCAGGGGAGGTGCTCCCCACCTCCATTCTTCCCAGCATAGAATTGTATATTATTGTTCTCTGCCTTTGGTTGCATCCCTGCTGCTGCAGAAGGCTTTTTCAATCAAGAGTACAGGCTATAAATATGCATGCGGGTAATTCTAACTGAAAGCCACCACTGTCAGAACTGGCATGTGTCATTCTTTTGGCATTAACTCTGCAATTACAATGTTTCCTACAATTACATAATAGACTCCTGTGACTCAGTGGCAAATGAGAAAGAGAAAGAAGAAGGGAGGGGTAAATTAAACGGTGGGAGGGCTTTACACCTCTAAGACGGAAGTGTGTGCCAGTATTTGCACGGACATATAGCCTATTTTCCAGAACACAATTGTTTTCTTGAAGTCCTCTATTCAAAGGCTCAGTCTAGTCTAAATCCAGTCTGCTGATAAAGAACGAGAGGAAGGAAATTACTACTTGGCTAAAAGTCTAAGGTAATGGGTCATCTAGTCTCTGATTTCTCCATATGTCATATTACCTTTTGATTTGAAGTGTAGGAATTACTTCTGAACTTACTTGTGTGTGTGTGGCCCACTTACACAATAAGTTTTTTTTTAAGTGGTTTGTATTAATTAAAAGTCAGACTAGGCTTTTAACTCAAATGGACTATGTAAAGTGCAGCCAATTCTATTCAATATGCTGGCTATTGTTTTCTAAACAATCGCCATCCAACTGCAGTTTTCAAAGAGTTTCCAAAGACAACTCTGTGTTCAGCATGTTTTTAAAATAACTCGTCAACTCCCATCAAATCATTAAATAAATAGAGGTGTTCCTTCCATAATATGTATGGAAATTGCTAGCCAATATTCTGTACAATACATCAGATGGCACTGAATAGTTCTGAGTTTTACTTCAAAATTAGTATTTGAATTATTGATAGGGAATGGATGCTCCATCCTCCTCCAAGCCTTGTTATTTTCACAGAGTGACTTGCAGCATGCATGGCCGTGTTTCACTAAACATGCATTCCAATAATGCCACTAAAACTGGATGGCAAAATATTGAGAATTGGAAATATTGTTTTTCATCATATTGAAGACTTTTGCATATTTAATCCATTTCAAAAATGGATTAAACATTAATGTAAGATTTATCACCACTTGCAAAGCCTTAAAAACAACCTTTAAAAAATAAAAAGGCTATAATTCTTTTCAATTGCATGATGCACCTTTACAAGTTTCTGCAACTTCAATAAATGCCATTTTGATGCCATTCTTTTTCTTTCTTTCTTTCTTTCTTTCTTTCTTTCTTTCTTTCTTTCTTTTTTTGCTCTGTCTTCAGCACGATTTGCCTACAGCACTAAGTGGATTGGCCATGGGATTTGTCCTTTGTGATGTCATAAGTGCAAGTCCAGCACAGTGACATCATCAGTGAATTCATGCACTAAGACTTTGCTAGACAGCATGATATCATAGAAAGAGAAAAACAAAAAGAATGGAAATAAATTGCAAAAAACAATAGCTGAGAGAACAAAAAGTATGATGCACATAACACAATAATATGTTTCAACAATCCACCCCTGCAGAAACAAAAAAAAAGAACATAATCCAAACAAGATGATGATGTAATGCTAATATAAATTGAAACTAGATAAGTAATTTTTTTGTTTATGGTGAACCAAAATACTGAATTCATAGTAGTTGATTCTAACTAGTAAAAGCTTCAGAGACCTAAAATAACCATTCCTCTACAAAGCTTTTCTGTTATAAATGGGCAATAAACGTTAGCAGCAACCAAGCAGAAAGAGAAGACACAATGCATAAATTCCTGTTAATCCAAAGGATAAATTATGTATCATCCGACTTAGAATGGGTTCCAGGCTGCTGATTTTTTATGTTCCTTCACAAGCTCATTTCCAATTAAACAGGCATATTTTTCTTCTGAAAAAATATATGATGAATCCAGCAGTTCCAGAAGGTTCCACTTCTGACTGCCATTGAGATTTCTTGGGGTCTGGTTCATTCTTTTCACTGCACACAGAGGTCTGTGGCATTTCATAGCGGGCTGCAGAATCTGGCTTCTTTCCTGCTAAGCTTTCCCACTGGCATTTTATTTCTGATCCTTTTATTGTTCGTTTGTTCCCACTCTCGTTTGCTCAGTGGTGACCCCCCTGGAACCAATAATAGCATGTTTCAAATGCCTGATTAAAACACTGCAGTGGAGTAAATCAATAAGCATTGGAGGCTGAGAACATAATAAGTATAATAACCACCATTAGGGTAACGAGTTGGGAAAGTGAGAGCGAGACTGGTAATATTATAATTATATTAATCTGCTTCGATCAGTTTCCACCTCAGAGGTTTGTCTGCACTCCCTCCCCTTGGAAAGAAAAGAAACACAAAGAGCTTGACATATAGATAGATAAACCAAGAATTGGTTTGTCTCCTATAAAATCCAGGGATGCACACAAAGAGAGAGAGAGAGAGAGAATCGTATTATGGAATCACACCCAATTCTCATGCAGCCCAAGCCACATCATCAGTAAATACTCTAGAATGCAGAATGCTTTCACACATAGTACACCCACACAGCCCAATAAATATACACATAAGACAGAAGCATGCAGCTAAACACTCCCACAGGAAACATATGGAAATGTGCACGCCAAATGCCACCCAAGGCTATCAAAGAAAGTCTTTGGAGAATAACTACTGCTTTATGAAGTTGGGAAATAGACTGGGTAATGCATAAGCATGGACCCTTAGGCACAACACAGCACCCCAACCAGCACACTAACAAATAAGGGATGCAGCAAACCTAAATATTTGCCTGAAATACATGTCACGGTGTGCCGTGCTTTAAACCACTTAGATCTCTTTGTGCTTGGCACAAAAAGGGATGGCTTTATTCCCACTCATCTTTGTATTCTCCAAGCACGGGGACCTTAATTTATTGCCCTGCTGTGAATAAAAGATCCCCATGATCTTCAGTGAAAGGCAATGCATGATGGAATTTAATCAAAATCAAATCAGATCAGAGCCTTGGTGGCACAGTGGACTAAAGAGCTGTTAAAGTAGCATTTAGCTGCCAGCTGCCTACAATTACTGCAAGTTCAAATCTTACCAGGCTCAAGGTTGACTCAGCCTTCCATCCTTCCAAGGTAGGTAAAATGAGGACCCGGAGAAGGGGCGGCATATAAATTGAACCAATAAATAAATAAATAAATGTGTGAGACTTCCCCAAAAAAGTACTTGAAGAACAGACATTATTTTTCTTTGTTGGAGCTTGGAAGTATATTAAAAAATGCGAGAGTTCACATAATATCGTCATGTGATTAACTGGTACCTTTTTGGAATGGTATTTTATATACTGTGTATAAGTAGATTTATGGGGAAATGTCTGAATGCTAAAGATGTTAATATGATATTGAATTATACAATAAAGCTTTGGAATTTGTTTATCAGGAATTACAATTGTATCAAGCATGAGGAAGGGAACTAAAAAGTCATGCAGGTAATCAATCCTTGACTTACTAACACAGTTGGGGCCAGAATTTCCATTGCTAGTCAAAGCAGTTGTTAAATGAGTCGTGCCTGATTTTATGACCTTTTTTCCCAGTTGTTAAGCGAATCACTGCATTTGTTAAATTAATAATGTAGTTGTTAAGTGAATCTGGCTTCCCCAATTTGCTTGTCAAACATCAGCTGGAAAGGTTGCACATGACCCTGGAATGTTGCAACGATCATATATACATGTTGGTTACCTAACACCAAAATTTTGATCATGTGACTGTCGGGATGCTGTGAAGGTAATAAATGTGACGACTGGTCATATGTCACTTTTTTTTCAATGCCATTTTAGCTTTGAATGATCACTAAATGAATAGTTGTAAGTCAAAGACTACTTGTTTTGAGAAATTGGAAAGTGATATTATTTCCAGATATTAAGGAATGGTTTTTGGAGATGAGTGATTATCTGTCTTAGAAAAGAAAATATTTTTATTAAGTCAAAAAATAAAGCAATATGTGCTATTTGGGCAGAGAATTTATGATATTTTACAATAATATTTTCTATTTATTATATCATACTACTATTCAGTATTAGTAAAACAGAGACTATTGATAAATTTAATATATAAGAGATATTTTCTAATCTTTGGTTTCCATTATTTTTTTCTTTAAACTTAAGGACTATTTTGTTTAATTGTGGATTTTGGTGTTTTGTTAATATTTTGTACTTTGAAAAACAGCAAACGTTTTTCGAAAATTAACCATGCTGGACTCTGCTTTAGCTTTTAAGCCCAGGCAAGACTGGTAGGTACTCCAACCTGCTTGAGACACAATCCTGCAACCTAATCCTGGGGCAACAATAACAAGTTTGGTTCTCTTCTATATGAAAAATCTTCAGGTAATTGAAGCATGCTGTTTTATCGGGTCTTAGCAAAATGGGGCAATGTTTGTCTTACTTTACAGATGATATACAATCCTTACGCGAAGGGCTGTCCATCTTTAACTGAAGGCATTCCGTACATGAAGAGTAGTCCACTACTAGTTGTTTTGAAAATGAGGAACCATAAGAAGGGAGAACAAGAGCTTGGCGTTGCTTATCAGAAATTCATGCATTAGCACACTGATCAGGCAAGCAGATATTTGGAAAAGCAACTTTCCTCTCTTTTGTAAACTGCAGAAAAGGTAGTAACGAATCCTGAGATACCTCTTTCATATCTGTGTCGCCCACTTATCCATCTCTCAACACAGTAACAGCAACTATAGCAACACAGAGGTGAGTGGGGGAAACTGAGCTGCTTAGTGATAGTTACATCAAATGATCAATTAAGAGTCACCCTACACCTCTGAGCAACTGAGTTCATACTGGAAGAAGATCATTTGGAGAGTTGTAGGCAATTCTTGTACTATGTATGTTTATGTATTCATAGGATGAGCGTAGATGGTTTAATAGCTTATAAACTCTAATAGAGAGCAGGTAAATTCACTACTCCCACTCCAGAACTCTAAGAACAGCCAGTAACCTTGACGTTCACAGAACCCACACTCCTTCATGTGCAGATTGGAGTCTCACTCTAATCAATGTTCTTATTCAGAATGTTATCAAAACTATTCTATATAAAGGAAGAAATTGTTAAACTATCACTCGGTTATTATCGCTCTTTTGCCTTGTCCACATAATATCTTGAAGCAACAGGTACTGAAGGTACTGAAAGCATTTCTCACAAAAACTACAGAGAAAAACAAAATTCCTCATATAGCAGGCCAATGCTCTGCAGTACAATTCAATTCCTTCAAAATTGGTCTTTATCTGCATTGACCAGTTAATGCCAAGTGTTAAGCTTATGTGACCAGGATTGGTAGCACATTAGAGACATGTATCTTTATCTAAGCTTTATCTAAGTGATCCTCTCTTCAACTTCAGAAGTTTGTTGAGATGAATAGCTATACAAATTCAATACATAAATAATAAATAAATAAATCTGTGGTATTGTCCAATTCTCTTTATGGAGTGGAATTTGGGATTAGGAAGGAATATCTTCCTCTCACCTACTTTTCATTACTGGTACTATATAATACAAAATAGTTGCTTACTTCAAACCTAATTATTAAGACTTATTAAGAGTTCTAATTAAGATGGGTGAAATCACAGGCCTATCTAGTCAACCAAAAGCAGGACTTCAATGCAAACGGCAACTTTTCACATATGGTCCCCAGAAATGCAGACAAGTAGTACCTCTAAAATTAGAATATGTGAAGTAAGTAGACATTGAAAGTCTTTCAAAGTGTCAGTCACTACAACTTTGAGCTTCTGTACTCCTTTCAGGCTACAATCTGCCACCTGACTTTGAGGTCTTCAGAACTTCATTCCCCCAAATACTTTGTCAGTACATAGTATTTCATCAGGAATTTATTTTTATTAATGCCAGCACAGTACTTTTCTTCCTCTCTCTCTTTTAGTTCACATGAATCTTTTCCCCTGTGACTAAGAAATTCCAAAGTAGCATGAAGCAGTCCCTTATTTCCCATAAGGTTCCCATTTTACTTGCAACTTGAGAAGAACTCAGCTAGGTCAATCATTCATATTAAAAAGAATAAGTGGAATCTACAACAAAAAATTATAGTGTGTCCTTAAATTCTGAGTATTTTTTTTCATTGCAATAGTTGGCCATATATTTTTCTAGTGTACCCCATTCTGTTTCATTCCTCTCTAACCAGGGGATTTGAAGGGGAGGAGTCAAAAAAGACAAGATGATACTTACACCAGGGGTGAAATCCAAATTTTTTCCCTACCGGTTCTGTGCTTGGTGGGTGTGGCAGGGGAAAGATATTGCAAAATCTCCATTCCCACCCGACTCCAGGGGAAGGATACTGCTATATTGCAAAATCTCCATTCCCACCCCACTCTGGGGCCAGCCAGAGGTGGTATTTGCCAGTTCTCCGAACTACTCAAAATTTCCAGTACCGGTTCTTCAGAACCTGTTAGAACCTGCTGGATTTCACCCCTGGCTTATACCCATGCAATCACAAGAAATCTACAAAAGGTGGGACTTTGATCACATGCTTGATGTTATCTTCTTGATTTCTTTTTGACCGTTCCACAGACAGCCCTATTCCTAAATTCCTAATTTTCTTTTTTGACCTAACTTTTGGCATTGTGTATTTTGAGGCTACTAAACATTTAATAGAGTTTCCTGCCCTAAGCAGTGAGTTGGACTAGAAGACCTCCAAGATCCCTACCAACTCTGTTATTCTATTTCTATATATACTAATAGTTAGGTTTTTATTTTTGCCCCATTTCTTGTATTGCTGGACTTTTAGTAATTATTTCCTTCTGCTAATATTGAGATTCCCTGCAAGCATGCTACTATTCCCCTCTTTTTTTTTAATGTGGCCTTGTTTGCTGTTGAGTGTTAAAGGGAGCAATTAATGATTACTTTTATTTTTGAAACCAAAATAAACAGGAAACAAATCAATGGCTTTTAGAAAAGTAAAATATATTCAATTATTTTGATCATCAGAATTTTCCTACTTTCAGCCTTTGGAGAGAGAGTTCAACTGTTCAAATGAATAAACATAATTGTGTTTATGCTACCTATTCATTCCTCTGAAGACAATCCTTGCATGAAATATATTATCCCAATCTGCATCTATGCCTCCCTTTCAAATGACTGCTTTTCCCAAAATTCCCTCCAAGGAAATGGATGATAAATTCTAACAGATTTTATATACCTTGAGGCTGCCTTTGAAAGAAGGGGAGAAAATGCTTTTTATTATCAGACGCTAAAGGACAACTAAGCCTGCCTCATGCATGGCAATAAGATCAAGGCAAACAACACGGGGACAGCAAATATTTGGTGGGGGGCATGTTTGTGCCACACTTGGGTGCAAGTAGGGAAATATCTATAGATTGGATTGCAATATTGGTTCTGTAGGGTAATTAAATTACTTTGGGCTTGCTAGCTGATCATTTTCTCTATCCTGAGTTTGACATTGGCCCTAAAGCATTACTCATCTACCCCTGGAAACATATTAGATCAATCTTCAATACAGCAAATGCAAGAGTCAGCCATTTTGATGAACTCAGAAGAAAATCTTTTTCCTTTCCTGAATTTAATACACACCAAGGACATTGAAGCTCAGAAGAATGAAGGGCGTTGTGCAGAAAATGGGGGAATTCTGTCCTACAGATCTAATTTTAAAGATAGATTGTTTTCAGGATTATGGAGGAAAAGATGTAGACTACACAAGTAGCTCCCCAAGAAAAAAAATAAAATCAATACTTAATTCTGGCTGCATTGATTTGTGGTTTGCACATTCTGTCTATTCACTTTGTTTTGGGGAGATTTTATGCCCCCAAGATTAGCAAGGTCTGGCTTATGGAGGCTATCTCTATTAAATGATAACAAGTGCACTGAAAGTAGAAAAATATAGAACGTTTCCTTAAATAAAATGTGGATTGAAAAAGGAGCCCAAGCCATTAGCTGGAAGAGATTTTACCTCTTGCAAATATAAACATGTTATTTATATTTCTCCTGCTGAGAGAGTGGGGAGAGGGAGGGAGGGAGGGAGGGAGGGAGGGAGGGGGAGGGAGAGAGAGAGAGAGAGAGAGAGAGGGAGGGAGGAGGGAGGGAGGAGAGAGAGAGAGAGAGAGAGAGAGAGAGATTGTGCTATATTTACTTTCTTGCTTTTGCCAGAGAATATTTCATTTGGCGGCCTTCTCTCTGTCTTATTGCAAAATAAGCCCTCTGAGAAGAATTATATATTGCTTGTGTCCTTTCTTCCAGACTCAGTGGGCAGTTTTAGCACTGTGCTCTCTCAGAACAAATCCCAAATCTGATAGTATGAAAAGAAGTTGTGAGGGATGGTGTGAGTGTGATTAAGGAAAATTAAGAGAATTAAGGGGAAACTTCCTAATAGGAAATCAATTAACCAGTGGAACAGCTTGCCTTCAGAAGTTGTAGGTGCTTCATCACTGAAGGTTTTTAAGAAAAGAATGGACGCCCACCTGTCTAAAATGGTATAGGGTGTCTTGCTTGAGCAAGGGGTCGGGCTAGAAGACCTCCAAGGCCCCTTCAGCTCTATTCTGATTGAGAGAGAGAAAGAGGCATCATCATGGCTTGTTTGCAGTTGCCTAGGATTGCTCTCAAGCATTATGCCCCATTTGTCTTTTAGTACAGGACAATCAATGTTCCTCTATGGGCCACAATTTTGCTCTCCTCCAACTTTGAGTGAAACAAGAGTTAAGTGTACCAAGACTTCATTAGGTATAATGCTTCGAAGTAGGTGTTTTCCCCTCACAAAAATTGCCCAATTAGAAAAACTAACTTGGATCAGGTAGTCAGTCTGAATGGTGGCAGCCTATCCACATGGATTTTATGGGGAAACAGGGATTTTTACTGTCTGGGATGAAGTCTCTGCCAATGAGGCTTCAATGTCATTCAAAGGGATAGGAAATACTGTATCATCCATTCCAACTTTGCAAAATGGAAGCAAGCTACATGCAAATTAAAGAACTGCAAAGACCAATACATGGCTCTTATTCTAAGCTCTACTTTTATAACTTATCTGATCAGTTCACCTTATTGTTTCCCAACTGAATTTAGCCAAAGAAGGGGAGCACCTTAACTTAGAAGTAGAAGACCTACACATACATATATCCCTTCAGTCTCCACTAGAAAGATCTCAGCTGTCTGTTATCAGTCAAAATTATGATGGCACATAATCAACCAATCAATCTGTTGTATTGAAGTGTGTTAACAGATGCACAGTCTGGCTCATAGGAATTCATTCTGCCCTGGTCATACTCTATTTGGGCTAGAGTAAGGTATACAGTTCTGCATGACACAGTTCAAAATGAACAGTTAATATTTGAAGCTGGTTCAGGGGATGATCAAAGATCTGGAAACCATATCTTTTGATGAAAAGTTAAAAGATCTGTGTATGTTTAGTTTACAAGAAAAACAAGATATAACAGCAATATTTAAATATTGGAAGAGTTGTCAAATAAAAGAAGGCGTGGACATATTCTCTTTTGCCAGGACCAGAAACAGTGCATTAAAACTACAAGGAAGGAGATTCAGATAAGATATCAGAAGGGACTTTCTGATTACAATTAACCAGCGGAACAGCTTGCCTTCAGAAGTTGTGGGTGCTTCATCACTGGAAATTTTTAAGAAGAGACTGGATAGCTTCCTGTCTGAAATGGTATAAGGTCTTCTGCTTGAGCAAGGGTTGGACTAGAAGACTACATGACACTGTCAGTTCTCCTTCACTAGAAGTCTTCAAAGGGAGGCTGGATGGTAATCAGAGATACTCCAG